TCAGTGTTTGGTATTGAATGATGAAAGCCGGTCCTTAAAGTCTGACTGATTTGTAGGCATCGTTTGTGATATGGTCATGGAGATTGGGTGCTCTGTTACAGCTTCATGATCATGTTTTTCTGAAGTTACTCACTCCTCTTCTGTCTCAGTCTCCAGATCTAGTGTGTCCTGGGTTTTTTCTAGACAAACCTCTCGAGGGAGCATACTTTACATGTATGCTTATTCTCTTTGGCTCTTGTTTGAATTCTTCCTCCCTACTTAAAGAATATTGTGCCAAGCTTCTCTGTATAAAAAATATGAAAGGAAAAAATGTAGTAAAGGAGAAGATGCTAATAATAGACAGGTATTTCTCTTCATTAGTTACCGCTTGGCTGCTTTGTAATGCTGCTGATTTCTTGCACAGCCATGTAAATGAGTTTGGTCACCTAGCAACAGAGGCTGGAACTGATGCCAGCTGTGATGTAATAGTAAGAACCTGTGGTTAAAACAAAGGGAGTTTGATGTTGTGTTGCATTATAATCTTAGCTTTCATTTTTTTTACTACATATGACCAAAATCTAAACAATCTCAGTGGTATCGCCTGGAAAATCAGAATGATATAAGGGATTAGCTCAGGCAAATATAGTGCTTCTACACGTTTATTTTCCAAGACTCAAGTTGCAGGGCTCCAGTGTGGTTAGAAATATTCCTACTGTAAGGAGTGTCTGATTTTTTTTTTTTTTTTGGTCTTTTTCTTAGTTCAAGACAGTGATACGAGCTCTGTACCTGTGGCTGCTTTTGCTCATTGGCTAGTGTTCTATCAACTGAGCCACCCCTCCAACTCCACCCTGGGTTCTTTTTTTTTTTTTTTTTTTCGGCTGGTTCCTAGGGTTTGAACTCAAACTGGGCATTGTCCTTGAGTTTCTTTTTGCTCAAGGCTAACACTACCATTTGAGCCACACCTCTACTTCTGGATTTTTCTGCGATTAATTAGAGATAAGAGAATCTCATGGACTTTTCTGCCTTGTCTGGCTTCAAACTGCAATCCTCAGATCCCAGCCACCTGAGTAGCTAGCATTACAGGCATGAGACACCAGTGCTGCTGCTTTATCTTATCCATATAGTAGAGACCATAGTAAGTGGGCATCCTTGTAAAAGTTTTTAATCAAACCCAGAGGATATTGTTTAAGTAATTAGACATTTTTATTAATGTTTTTTAGGCGTTCAGAGTTTACTCTGGGCTTTTGTATACTAAGGAAATTGAATTTTTTTCTTCGATACTAACTATGGCAGGTATAAAAATTCTGATACGTGTTTCTAGATAAAATTGTTTTAGGAAGCATATCTTTCAAAGTTGTTCTTTCCTACAGAATAGGTACCTGAAAAGTTTGTTGGAGTTTGATGAGATTAAAGGGATAAGTATCAAATGAATAAATAGAAACCCAAAGGATTTTGGGGGAAAATACAAGTTAAATTGGTGAGAGACATATCTTAATTGGTCTTAGTGATTTTGTAGCATGCACATACTCATTTAGAGACAGATTCCTGAGTTTATAATAAGTTGTGTTATCTTCAGATAGCCATTCTCTTATTATTTAAAAGTGGCCTTTTGTGGGTGCAAATATGAGAGAGTCCATCACCTTCAGGGCCAGAAGAGAAACAAAGTACCACCACTACAGTGTTGTCGTTACCATAGGAAGCATAGAGATGTAATAACTTGCTTAGAATGTACTGATGAACTACTACAAAATTAGATGTCAGACAGAAGCTGATAGCAGAAATGAAACTGAGACTTTATACAAGCATTTCTGATTCTTTGGTATACAGGGAATAATCATGTATTCAGTATGTGCATGAACACTATTTTAGCTTTTAGATACTTTGTGTGTAATGTTTCCATTGTTTTAAGGTAAACCCTAGGGCAAGAAAGATTATCTGTAACAAGAAGATAAATAAAAATCATGATTCTGGGCTAGAGATGGGATTCAAGTGGTAGAATACTTGCCTAACAGCTCAAAGTCCTGAATATACAGTATGGCCAAAATAGATCCTCTGGCAAATTCTTTTATCTAACTGATTCTAAATCTTGATATGTTTAATGTAGGCCGTTAGCTAAAAACAGTGGAGAGCTGCTGCTCCTCCTCCCCTTCCTCTTTTTCCTCCTCCTCCTCCTCTTCTTCCTTTCTCCTCTTCCTCCTCTTCTTCTTCCTCTTCCTCCTCCTCCCCCCTTCTTTTTAAGTAGTCTTATAAATTCCACAAATTAGGTTATATCATCTCTCTTCCATCGTTCTTAATCAATGTCATTTCTTCCATTGTTCATTTTCCTCCTCTCATCCCTAATCTTAAATTATGTAGCTCAACTTTTACATAATGTATGTTGAGTATAATGATTGCATTTGCTAACCCTTCCTTCCTCCATTTGTGTTTCTCCTCACCCCCCCCCCCAAACAAACAAACAAATATGTTTCTACCTCCTGGTAGATAGCTCTTTTGGGAGGCACTGGTCCTAGGGTTTGAACTCAGTGCCTGGATACTCTCCCTTAGCTTTTTTGTTCAAAGCTACCACTTGGGTCACAGCTCTACTTCCAGCTGTTTCGTGGTTAATTTGAGAAAGAGTCTCATGGACTTTCCTGCCTATAGCTGGCTTCAAACTATGACCCTCATCTCTCAGCCTCCTGTGTAGCTAGGATTACAGGTGTGAGTTAGCAGCACCCAGCTTAAATAGCTCTTTATTAGGAAGAAAAATGTGCTTAATTTTGGAGGACTACTCCTGGAGTTTGTAAATAGTAGGTTACTTGTGATTGCTATTGCAGGTTAATTATTACCTGTTCTGAATGCTCTATAAATAATCTCATATTTCTTAAAGTGTATTTAAGCAAGGGTTACTAGGATTGTAATTTTGGTTATATTTAAATGATCTTGTCAAATTGAGTTTATATGCTTTCAGAAAATTAAGTGCTATGCTAGCATTTTATTAAGGGATAATGCCTATAAAAAAATAAAAGACAGAGCAAATTGGCCAGAGAAGACTTTCAGACTATGATATAGGTGTATGATTTCTCCTCCGGCATTTTTTTTTTTTGCCAGTGGTACTGGGATTTGAACTTAAGGCTTCACACTTGCTAGCAGGTGCTCTACTACTAGAGCCATGTCCCCAGCCCTCCTCCTCCAATCTTGATATTTCAACTTTCCTTGTATCATTTTCTTTTGACGGAAGAACTAATTTAGGAATTCTCTTTAACCAAATCTGCCAGTAATAAATCCTCCATCTACGAATGTCTTTGTTTCATCTTTGTTTTGGCCATTCTAGAGTTTGAACCTAGGGACTCTCTTGCTGGGCAAGCACTCTGCCACACCCCTTATCTGTTTGCCTTTTTAGGTTTTTTTTTTTGTTGTTGTTGTTGGTTGTAGGTCTTGACCTCTGGGCCTGGGCGCTGTCCCTCAGCTCTTTAGTTCAAGGCAAGCACTCTGCCACGTGAGCCACAGAATCACTCCCGGTTTTCTAGTGGTTAATTGGAGATAAGAGTCTCTCAGACTTTCCTGCCTGGTTTTGAATCGTGATCCTCAGATCTCAGCCTCCTGAGTAGCTAGGATTATAGGCGTCTTCCTATATTTTTTAGGTAGGGTCTCCTGTTCATGCCTGGGCATGGCCTCTCACCAGAATCTTATATACCGCCTTCTGTGTAACTAGGGCCATAGGCATTCACCACTATGCCCAGTTTATTGGTTGAACTAGGATCTCACCAACTTTTTGCCCAGATTTGCCCCAAACCATGTTCCTCCAAATCTCTTCCTTCTGATTAGCTGAAATTATAAGTAGGAAGGTGTAGAATTTTGGGAATACTGTTCTTTTCCTTTGGTACTTGGAAAAATGTTCTATATGTTTATGGACCCCGTCATTTCTGATGAGAAATCTGCATTCCCTGGAATCATAGTACCCCTGTTTTTGTTTGCCATTAGTTTCCAGAAATTTGATTTGAGGTGTTTTCTGTACTGCACGTTTTCCTCTCCTTTGGTTCTCTTTGGAGAGGATGTTTGTTCTCCAGTTTTTGGGGCTCTGTTAATTTCTTCTTAATATTTTTTTCTGTTCAGATTGGATAATTTCCATTGATCTTCATTAGCTTCTTGCGTTCCTGCTTTCATTCTGATTTTGAGTCTATCCAGTGAGTTCTGTAGTTGATGATTCCAGCACCTGTGTCATTTTCGTTATACCCGGAACATGTTGACTATTATGCTGTACTACTCTGGGTCTAGGTCTTGTTTAAATTCTGTATAGAATGTTTTTTTTTTTTTTCACTTTTTTTCTTCCTCCTCCTCCTCCCCCCTTCCCGCCCTCCTCCTGTTCCTCCTCTTCTTCTTCCTCTTCCTCTACCTTCTTCTTCCTCCTTTTTTTATTTTAGTAGGCAGTTGACCTGGTTGAACGCAGGCTATAAGTATGAGCCATCTTTTCTGGGTTATAATTTTAGTGTCAATTTCAAATTTATCTCGTATGCCCAAGACAAATCCAGTTACCAGAATGCCTTAGTTTCCTATTAATAGTTTATAGTATGTTGTTTACTGTCAGACCCATGCCTATATGGCTTAAGAATTAGCTTTTACCCCAGGAGACCATGAACTGCTTTCTTCATTATCAGACTGTCATTGTGGTCCAGCTCTATGACCTCATCACCCAGTGCTGTCGCCAGTCTCAGTACCATGGTTGTTGGGATGGGCTATGGATTATTTAGCAGGTCTATGATAATGGATATGTTTTATAGCCTTTCCCCCCATGATTTTACAGGGCATTACTGCATACTTAATAAAAATAATGCTACAGTATAATGCTTAGTTTATTTATCTGCGTTCTCACAGTAATCCACAAATGAAGCAATGTAAAAATTCCTTTCTGTTATATTCTGTAAGTAATGAGAATTGGGTACTTTCTGGGGATGAATCAGTAAAATGTTAACCATTCTGAATTCTATTAGATGAGGTTAAAAATAATCTAGTCATGATCTCCACCCTGCCTTCCTTTTTTCCAGAATTTTGATTCTGACATTAGCAGTGTAGGAATAGATGGCTGCTGGCAGGCAGACAGCCAAAGGCTTCTCAATGAGGTGATGGTGGAACACTTCTTTCGACAAGGCATGCTGGATGTGGCCGAGGAGCTCTGCCAGGTAACCCTACCAACTGGGAGATGTGAGAAAGAAACAGTGGAATCCTTTGGAGCTTGCATTATTTTCATGGGGCTTTGAATCTTCTGTTAGCTATAGATAGATGCTTAATATTTTAATTAACAAGGATGACCTCATTATACACAGAAACATTTTTTCAGTTGTTAAAAAATTATAGTCCTAAAACTTAAGCAGTGAAAATTGCAGTCATAAGACTCTACTGAATTTGTTCTTTTCTTTCTTATTTTTTTGCCCAAAACGTTGGTCCAAGGTCATGAATCCAGGGTATCAAAAGTGATACTATCTCTATTTCCTCTTTTGATAGGAAAGTTCATAATATGGCAGAGAAGAGGAAAAGGACAAAAAGCATTGTTTTTATTGGATTTTCTGTTTAAGAAAATCACTTAAAGCCCTAATCTAAGCATTTAGTATTTTAAACAATTTCAATCAACGATAATTTGGATCTTTCTTTGAACCTTTTGGGATTCTGTGGGTGCTCATATAAATCTTGCACTGAATTATACTCTTACGGATCAAGTTTGTTTTCAAGTAAAGACACACAAAGTTTTTCTTGCATAGAAATAGAGTAGTAAGAAAGGTCTAGTGTATGTAATAGTTCTACAGCATGAGCTTTGAGGGACCTGTACTACTTGTGGCTCTGCTATTACTAAGGTGGCCTAGGATAACAGTCTGACCTCCAGCTACAACTTTGTGTCTAGGAAGGGGCAAGAGTACATGCTTACAAAGCCATACATCTTGAAAAGCCATATCAGCTTTACTCCATAGGCATGCATGCTGTGAAAGTTTGGAGAGAAGAATCAATTTCCACCATAGAAATGCATGTTAAAAGGAAATGATCTTTGGTGTTTTGACTCATATTTTATAATCTAGAATACACATTTACAACATTGTGCCTCCACTCTGATTGCTGCTAACAATTTTTTTTCTTTTTCCTTCAGGAATCTGGTCTTTCTGTAGACCCAAGTCAAAAAGAACCATTTGTGGAGTTAAATCGAATATTAGAAGCATTAAAAGTCAGAGTTCTGAGACCTGCTCTAGAGTGAGTTACTGAGCTTTTCTTTTGGATACTTTGAAAGAACTCTGTAAACAAATCTGTATGTGAACAAAATTAAAAATCCATTAGAGATGCTTAGCTCTATCTTACCTGGGATAGACTTCAGAGAAATCAAGGGAGAATTGTTTTTATTTCTTTTGGCCAAGTGAAATGTGGAATGTGCAATATGAGAAAATGGTTAGAGCCTATTTAGCTTATCAGTTGGTCTAAATTGCCATGAGAAAAAGGTTTCCTGTCTCCATGCTATACCACCACTTTGTGTGGACAAGAGACAGGACTGAACCACTGTTGTTCAAGTGCTCCTAGTTTGATATTTGAGCTTCCATATTGTGCTGGGTTCAGTGCTGTCATTCTAAGGAGTGATTTAATGAATGGTTGGAACAAGTAGTGTGTATGAAGAGAGCACATATTGTATAAATGAGCTCTCTTCTGTATGAGTGCAGGCACTTGCAGTGCTAGAGTTTGAACCCAGGGCCTTGTACATTCTAGGCAAGTAAAGGAACTCTGGTCTTAATTACTATAGGTTTTGATGATTCCCTGTGAACTTAGCATCGTAATGAATTACCTGAAATTACTGAATATTCTAGAGCAGGATGGGCACACATTTTAATAGAAAACCAAAGTAATATTTTAGGAATTTTCAGTCTACATAAGGAATCATTCTATGTTTTATTTTACAACCCTTTAAAAATGTAAAAAAATGAAAACTTATTTTTTGCTATCTGTCATATAAAACTGGCAGCTATATTTGGCCTGTGACATAGTTTGCTGAGGATTATAAGAATATTGTTAATAAATAACTTGTAAAAAATAAATAAATAAAAGCTGGATGTTGGTGGCTCATGCCTGTAATTAATCTTAGCTACTCAGAGAGCTAAGGCTCTGGGTTTCAAGCCAGCCTAGAGAAAAGTCTGTAAGACTCTTTATTTCCAACTAACCACTGGCAAAACATCAGAAGTGGAAGTGTGGCTCCAGTGACAGAATGCCAGCCTTGAGTAAAAATGTTAAGGGAAGCTGAGTACCAGTGGTTCATGCCTATAATCCTAGCTATTCAGGAAGTTAAGATCTAAGGATCATGGTTTGAAGTCAGCCTGGGCAGAAAAGTCCCCATGAGACTCTTAGTATAATAAACCACTCAAAAACTGGAAGTAGTGCTGTGGCTCAGGAGGTAGAGCACTAGCCTTCAGCACAAAGAGGCTCAGAGATAGCATCTAGTCCCTGAGTGCAATCCCCACAACTGACCAAAAAAAAAAAAAAAAAAAAAAGCCAAGGGAGAGCTTGAAGCTTGAGGTCCTGAGTTTTAAACCCCAGTACTGGCACAAAAACAGCAACAACAAAAAACACAAAACCCCACAACTTATAAAAAGAGAAGAAACTGGGTTGCGGGTGGCTCATGCCTATAATCATAGTTACTCAGGAGGCTGAGATCTGAGGATCATGGTTTGAAGTCAGCCTAGGCAGGAATGTCTGTGAGACTCTTATCCCAATAAACTACTCAGATAAAGCTGGAAGTGATGCTGTGGCTCAAGTGGTATAGTGCTAGCATTGAGTACAAAGAGTCAGACCCCAGGACTGGCAAAGAGAGAGGGGAGGGGAGAGAGAGAAAGATGAGAAAGCAGTACTGGTTTATGTGGTTTACTGGTTTATGTATATTATGTACATGTCTATTCCATCACAAGTGGTTACATGCTATGCATACTGTCCTGCATCTTACTCTTTTAACTTGAAATGTTGAATACTTATTCCTGTGTCAGAACATATAAACTTCCTCAGTGAGAATGGCTTAAATAACAAAGTTTTGTAGTGGCTATTTCATTTGGGGGTTTGTATCCTAGTTTTACTTAACCATTCCTTGCTGGTAGACATTTGGTCATTTTGAGTCTTTTGCTTTATAAACACTGCAGCAGTGACTAATGATTGAACATCATCTTGATTGTAGCCAAATATATCTGAGCACTGGATCAAGGTTCATTTGAAATGGATTGATTTTTGTCAAAGTTTTCTCTATCAAGTTTGCTCTAAAGTATAGTTCTACCGTAAATATCAAGAGTGATTTTACATTCTTGGTACCATGATTGATTTTCTTAAATCTTTGCAAGTTAGATAGGTGGGTATTGTGGGGAGAATATCCTCTCATATTCAGTGTACATTTATCTGCACTAACTGTGCTCATACCTTCACTCTGGCAACGGTCTAGACCTCCTGCCTAGGGCAATAGTCTTTGACTTTGAGGGCTATCTTTAATGCCTATGGATCGCGAGTGAGATAGGTAACCATTTTTGGCTACCAAATACCATGGTTATCAGTGGTCCTAAAGCGAAGAAAATACTTCTCCAACTCGAGAGCAGTTGTAGCAAATTGTAACATTAATGAATAAAATATACTTTATTAGTGGGAAACAGTTTGGAACATGAATATGGAAAGTAAGCAGATAGATATGTCTGATCTTAGAGCTCGATTGTCACTGGAAACTGAAGGTGACAATGTTGAAGTTTTGGTTAGTTTTTTAGTTGTAGGTTCTTATAGGTGGGCAGTATTTCTCCTTTTCTGTTTTCTTTTTCTTATTTGTAGATTCTCATAGGTGGGCAGCATTCCTGCTTCAGAGCCTATTTTGTTTGTGGGCAGGAGTGGAATGCAGGTTCTGGGGATTGAATTTAGGGCCTTGAGGTTGCTAGACAGGCACTCTACCACTTGAGCCACACTGCCAACCCTTTTGCTTTTGTAGATAAAATGTTGCTCTTTTCCTAGGTTCTCCAGGACCACAAACCTTCTATTTGTATCTATTGCATAGCTGGCCACAATACCCAGCACTTTGATTGGTTGAAATGGCTTCTCATTAGCTTTTTTTGAGCTGGGGCTGGACTCATGACTATTCCCCCCATCTCAGTCTCCTGAATAACTACAGTTAGAGATAGGAGCCACTGCTTCTGGCTCAGGCATTTCTCTGTAGCCTCAGACCCATATAGGAAACATGACTGTCATGCAGGGAGTGGCCAGTGGGTCACTCAAGACTTGAATTCCCCACCCCCATTCCCTCATAAATTGGTCTTAATTCAGAAAAGGCAGAAGAGGATTGATTTTGTTGTTGTTGTTTTATGCTGCTTTTGTGCCAGTCCTGGGGCTTGAACTCCAGGCCAAGGCACTGTCCTTGAGCTTTTTTTCTCAGGGGTAGCACTTTTCCACTTCAAGCACAATTCCACTTTTGCTTTTTTGGAGGTTAATTGGAGATAAAAGAGTCTTCCAGACTTTCCTGTCCAGGCTAGCTTTGAACTGAGATACTCAGCCTCCTTAGTAGCGAGGGTTTTGGGCTTACATTACCAGCAACTAGCCAGCTGATCCATTTTTAACTCATCCTGTCTGTTTGATGGAGAATGTGTCTCCTTAGTAAAGAGAAGCTAACTAAAAATTCAAAATGATGCTCAGTGGACTGGGGAAGGGTGACACTGTCCAAAAAGAAATGTACTAATTGGGGCTGGGAAGGTAGCTAAGCGGTAGAGTGCATGCCTTGTAAGCATGAGGCCCTGGGTTCGATTCCTCAGCACCACATAAACAGAAAAAGTTGGAAGTGGTGTTGTGGCTCCAATGGTAGAGCACTAGCCTTGAGCTGAAGAGCTGAGGGACAGCGCCCAGACCCAGAGTTCAGGCCCCATGACCAGCGGAAAAAAAAAAAGAAATGTACTCATTACCTGATTTATGCAACTGTAACTCCTCTGTACATCACCTTTACAATAACAACTAAAAAATAAAAATTAAAAAAAATGCTCAGTGGAAAGGACTCTCAAAGACAACATAGTGGAATAGATATTAGAAAAAGAGGTATTGTGATTGCACCATTTTCTGTTGTCTGAATATCTGCTTACTAAGTTCTTGAGTTGGGTTAGAACTGAGCAAGCATAACTTATAACTAGAAAATTGGAAATAGGGCTAGCATGCATGAAGCCCTGGGTTGGATTCCTCAGTACCACATAAATAGAAAAAGCCAGAAGTGTCACTGTGCTCAAGTGGAAGAATGGTAGCCTTGAGTGGAAGAAGCTCATGGATAGTGCCCAAGCCATGAGTTCAAGCCCCAGGACTGGCAAAAAAAAACAAAACAATACAAACAAAATGATATAAATTGTCCCTGAGGTTAAGAGCACATATAGAGAGAAAGAGGAAAGACAGTGAAGTCTGAAGAAAAATGCTGCTCTGTATTCACTGAGCTAAAATCCCTTGCTTTTGTGGTAGAAAACTAGTTGTAAATAAAGTAATGTCTTTTTTTTCTTCTTCTTTTTTGTACGTTTTTAATAGTAAAAATGCTGTACAGAGGGGTTACAGTTACATGAGTAAGGTAATCAGTACATTTCCTATTGAGCAATGTTGCCCCCTGCTTTGTTTTTCCCCAGCCATCCCTTCTTTCCCCACCTTCCCAAACACACACACACACACACACACACACACACACACACACACACACACACACACACACACACACTTTCCCCACCTTCCCAAACACACACACACATCTTTAAAATCTTTTCAAAAATCATTAATTTATACAGCTGAGCTTTCCAGTATGGTGACCATTTGCCATATGTAGCTAGATCTCTGCTTTGCTGAGAACTTCATGTTTGTGTTAAATAAATGCAAATGTGTAACTTGTTTGCTTTTTTATAAAAGAGAAGCCAGGCACTGGTGGCTCATGCCTGTAATCCTAGCTACTCAGGAGGCTGAGATCTGAGGATCATGGTTCAAAGCCAGCTTGGGCAGGGAAGTCCATGAGACTCTTATCTCCAATAAACCACCAGAAAACTGGAAGTGGCACTGTGGCTCAAGTGGTCAAGTGCTCACCTTGAGCTGAAGAGCTGAAGGACAGTACCCAAGCCCAGAGTTCAAGCCCCATGACTGACAGAGAGAGAGAGAGAGAGAGACAGAGACAGAGAGGGAAAAGGAGAGGGGGAGGGAAGGAAGGAGGGAGAGAGAGAGACAGACAGAGACAGACAGACAGA